CGGGCCTCATCCTGTCGTGGTTGCTGGGGTAGAGGGTCCCGTCCGTTTCCACCCTCTTGCCGCTGGCCATCCCGCTGCACGGCTGAGGATGAAGAAGGCTGGTGCCTGCACCCCTCTTCCTCTTTTGCTCCTTGCTGCTCAGCGCGCTCGGGTAGGTGTCCTCCAGCGCCTGGAGGCTCTCCGAGTAGTACTGGGGCTCCTTGGGGTAGATGTGGGCGTCCAGGCTGTCCGTGCTGCCGCTGCAGTCCGCGCACACCACGGGCAGGCCGTAGCCTGTAGGGGAGGAAGGGGAAAGGGCAAGGAGTGAAGATGAACCAGCTGGAAGCTGTCACGGCCCGAGCACCCGACTTGCGGAAGGAGAAGGCGGCTCCGGTTGGTTCGTCTGCCCCTCAGCAGCGCGGGGGTCTCTCGCTCAGCGCCACGGACGTTGCTGGGGTTTACACAGGGCCAGCAAACACCTGCGCTTTGCAGAGCTCCGGAGCTACCCCTGAGGGTAGGTCCAGTTCAGAGGCTTAGTTGGTTGGGGTTTGTTTACTCCTAAGAAGTTGTGACTTTCTTTTTTTTTTTTCCTAAATAAACTGTGCATTTATTTCCTTTTCCAGACTTTCTGGTCAGGGTAGAAATAGCAAGTGGAGCTTTTCTTTACCGGCTTTAAAATACCAAGTTACCTTCTTGGGTTTGTGCCGCTGCTTTACAGGATCACTGTCAGCTCACGGTGTTACCTCAAGGTATGTTATTACTGTTAGTGGTAATAACAGATGAGCAGAACTCAAAAGCAGCAAGCAGGAAGGAGTTTCTAAATGTTGAAAGTTAATTTCCTTACTGCACTCGACAACTTTCCATTATTAAACTTTACACAGTTTCTCCTGGACAGAAAATCTGTTTCATTGGCCGTGGAGTGGAACACCCAAGAAACTGACAAAGAGCAGAGGTGGGTGCAGTGCCCAAAACAACCTTTAAATTTTGAAAATAAAGAAAAAAGCCAAGCTTTGAAGTTGACAGCCCCTTTAAAGAGCATGAAAAATTTTAACACCTTCACTTTGAATGCGCTCTCACGTTCTAGGAACAGCTGAAATCGAAATACCCATCAGCCAGCTGCAAGGAATGGCTGTCGTGAGCTTGAGTCTGCCTCTTTGTGACGTTCCTCGAATTCAAACTATTCAAGCTTGATAGAGGATCAAAGCAAGCAGGAGAAAGTAAATTTATGGTGCTCACACCTGAGAGTGACTCTGGGCTTTTTTTTCTGAAGGTAACAATTTCTTGTCTTAATGCTGTCTGACTCAGAGGGCCTTCTGATCTGTACAAACACAAAATACCTTTCCAGATTAATGGGTTTTGTACCTGTCTTATCTGGAACAAGCATTCCATCAGCCATGTCTTCGGTTTTCCAAGTGTCTTTATTATAGCCGATACACAGCTTTGGCTGTCTACAGCCCACGGTGGGAGCTTCAACGTCTGGACACCTTCCAGCATCAGTCTGACACATACCTGTAACAAACGAACCATCTGGCTAAGGATTACAGCCATCTGCTCTCAGTTAAATGACTCGTTAGTCTTATTTCTACTGTAAAAGCTGCAAAAGGAGGAAAAAATAGCCACGGAGATAAACATTAGCTTAAAATTATCTATTAACAGAATAAATGCTGTACCATCCCAGGAGAATCCTGGTTCGGAACGCTTAACTTCTCCTTCCTACCGTGCCCTGTTTAAGTACTGTAAAATCCCAACATTTAATTTCTCAGCCTGAAGGCAGGGACAGGCCACGCTAATGGATCTTCTAGTAGAGCTTAACTACGGGTAACTCTGGTGCCAAAAAACTAATCCAAAATTAGCAAAAAAACAGTCCTTGGGGCCTGACTGAGCAGTTTCTGAAGCAGTCTGCCTGTAGGAACCCTGTTAGGGCTGGGAGAGGACAGCCTTGTGGAGTGACAGAGCCTTGTTCTGCGTAAATGCAGCAGCTGCAGAATCACCCTACGACGAGCGCTCAGGTAACCCATCACAAGCACAGACGTACTCTGTACTGTGACTTCTGCCTCCTCAGATCAAGTTCAGATGCAGCATCGCAGAAGAAACCAGGAAAGGGGTTCTCACCGTTGCTGTCTATGTGCCCGTTGGGCTGCTGGTGATCTACTCTGACGACCGCTTCCTGCCGGTCAGAGAGAGTCCCTTGGGACGACAAGTAGCTCGGCACGTCGGGAGGCACAATCGTCTCGTCTAGAGCAACGGGAGCAGAGAAACGTCAGTTCCCGCTACGATGTAAAGGCACGTAAAAATCACGTTTTCGAGAGGGATTTGGGATGAGATCTGTAATTGGTATTTGCTGTAGGTGCAATGGAAACTGAACTGCCTAAACACTCCTTTCCCCTCGGAAGCCCCACTCCTGATTTTTCAAAGCTTAAAGCGGCGAGATACAGAGCTGATAAAGGCACGACGAGTGTTTGCGTGTGGCAGGGTCAGTACAAGGTAGGTGGAAGTGGAACTGTGTCTTCAGAACAAGTAAATCTTTCCTTTTCCCCTGAATTTGAGAGCACCTCGTTTGCCTCAAGTCCTCTGGCTCTCAAAGTCAAGGGTAAAAGACTTCTGGAAAACAGGGTCTTCGATCCACTTAAGCTGGCAAGTAAGTCTAAGCTCCTTAGCTATCCTGGGCTTTCTCCAGCAATTTCAGTTTCCCTTGTCACACAAAACCCAGTGAAACCCAGTTACGCTAGGCGCGAAGCTCTAGATTTTCAGGATTAAAAAAAAAGGGGGGAAAAAAAATCCCACTGACACATCACACTGGTCATGCGGTATCCAACACTTCCCACCCTGCCTGTGTCTTAAAATCCTACGTTGTACTACACCTAAAGCTAAGTGTAACATAGGAAGGCTGCAAGTCCCAGCAGGGTGGGCAAGTCCTAGGCTGGTTCTTCCATACTTCTGTTCAGAGGCTGCATCACTCTGAGGGCAGGAGAGTTTATCCTCACTGCAACACTTATTTCAGCACCAAATTATCCCCTTTGTGTATCAGGAAGAAGCAAAAAACACTGCTTCTTCCCCTAAAAAGTGAGGGCTCATCAGCAGAGCTACAACAGCTCTTCCAGGCAACATGGAAAAAGGGATTCCAGCTTCAAAGTCTGATTTTTCAAGTTTTGAATATAAAGTCTTTGAAAATACAGATTCCCAAGGAGGAAGACAGTTCCCCAGCATCATGGGACATAATCCAGACTGTTTCAGGAGTTATCATTTATGGTCATGGAAAATCAAAGTAGCAAAGCAACGGCTGAAACTACTGCCAGGTGGAAAAGACCCTTCTGAAGAGCAAGCCAAGGGGAGAAACGCCGCTCTGAGCATGCCTGAACAGCAAGGGAAAGCTGCTTCCAGCGTTGTGAGCCAAGAGAACCACTGAGATAAGGCAAGTGCTTTGCCAGCGCGATTGTGGGGCTACCTGACGTACCCATTCGGCCTCAGTGACAGCACAGAAGGTCAGAAGAAGCCTTAGCAGGAGACTAGAGCTACCTGTGTTGGTGACGCTGTATTCTTCGCTCTTCTTCCTGGTTTGGTAGATGATGCAGACCCAGACCAGGGACGTCAGCACGATGCTACACACCACGGCGATGGTGATGATCCCCACCGTGGTACGGTCCTTCCTACAGCCGAGAGACTGCAAGATGCTCACGTGGCTGTGCGCGCGCTCCGTCCCCAGGGTGTTGGACATTTCACAGGTGTATTTCCCAGCATCCTCCAAGACAACGTTCCTCACGATCAGGAGCTGGTTGCCAGAGGTAAAGTGATGCCTTTCGGTGACGATCAGGGGCTGGTCGCCTTTCAGCCAGGTGATGCGGGGAGGGGGGCTCCCGGTGGCTTTGCACTGGAGAGCCACAGTCTCGCCGACGGACACTACGTGGTCTTCCAGGGGATGAATCAAAGAGGGCGTCTCTGCAGGAGAACAAACACCGGAGTTAATTCCTGGGGACAGCGTAACAGCGGGTTTCTTTTCAGAGCGTTCAGCGCCACTGATGTTCCTGCAGAGGAACACGCAGCGATGCACCACGCAGCCGCGCGCCCGGGAGCACGGCAGCGGCAAACCACAGCGGATCTAACCACCACACCGAGGCCTTTCCATCCCCACCTGGTGTTAAGTCTTCCCAGCGAGGAATCCCCGAGGACAAGGGGCAACGGCTGACTCACAGGAATGATTTCTAA